ATATATATATATATATATATATATATATATATATATATATATATATATATATGTATAAACCCTAAACCCTAAACCCTAAACCCTAAATAGACAGAAGGGCTGGTTGTCTCTACGGGTCTTAGGGGCGTCACAATATAACCCCATAACTGCTGTTGCTGCTGCAGCAGCTCTAGCTGCTGCTGCTGCTGCTGCTGCTGCTACTGCAGCAGCTACAGCTGCTGCTGCTGCTGCTGCTGCTGCTGCTGCTGCTGTTGCTACTGCAGCAGCAGTTACTGCTGCTGCTGTGGCTGGTATTGCAGCAACTGGAGTAATGGTTGCTTCTGGTACTGCAGCAGCAGTTATAGTTGCTGCTGCTGCTGCTGCTGCTGCTGCTATTTCTACTACTGCGGCTGGTGCAGCAGCTGCTGCTGCAGTCGCTAGCTGCTGCTGTCAATGCTGCTGCTGCCGTCGGTGGAACGGCTGATTATGCTACTGCTGCTGATGCTACTACTGCTACTGCTGCTGCTGCTGCTGCTGCTGCTACTGCTGCTGCTGCTGCTGCTGCTGCTGCTGCTACAGGTCTACGGCCTTGCTAGCAGCAAAGAGGGCCTCAAGGGCCTCCTCGTCGATCCGCTGCGCCAGGCCCTTCGCCTTGCGCTCCAGAGACAGCCGAACAGACTCTGCTGCCTGCAGCAGCAGCAGCAGCAGCAGCAGCAGCAACGGCAGCAGCAGCAGCAGCAGCGAGAGAGAGAGGGAACAGAAGCAATAAGAACAGAAACAGCAGCAGCAACAGCAGCAACCATATCATTAACAGGCTGCTGCTGCTGGAGATGCAGAGGGCGCACAACGACAGAGACACAAAAAAAGCAGCAGCAGCAGCAGCAGCAGCAACAGCAGCAGCAACAGCAGCAGCAGCAGCTGGAACAGCAGCAGCAACGACAACGGCAACAGAAGCAACAGCAGCAGCAAGAGCAACAACAGCAGCAACGACGGCAGCAGCCGCAACAGCAACAGTAACAGCAGCAACAGCAGCAGCAACAGCAGCAGCAGCAGCTGGAACAGCAGCAGCAACGACAACGGCAACAGAAGCAACAGCAGCAGCAAGAGCAACAACAGCAGCAACGACGGCAGCAGCCGCAACAGCAACAGTAACAGCAGCAACAGCAGCAGCAACAGCAGCAGCAGCAGCAGCAGCAGCAGCTGCTGCTGCTGCTGCTGCTGCTGCTGAAGCAATGAGGTGTACGTACACTGGCAGCTGCAGCAAGAGCAGCATTGCGCTGTATCTGAGGGCGGCGTCTGTACAAAAGAAAAAAAAAGAAAAAAGAAAAAAAAAAGAAAAAAAGGAGATAGAAAGGAGACAGAAAAAAAACAAATGCTGATGAGATACACAGGAAACAAAGAAGAGGGGAGACAAAAAGGAGACAGAAAGAAAAGGAGACAAAAAGGAGACAAAAGGAAGAAAAGGAGACAGAAAGGAGACAGATATGTAGCGACAGTAGAAGGAGCTTCTAACAGCAGCAGCAGCAGCAGCAGCAGCAGCACCAGCAGCAGCAGCAGCAGCAGCAGCAAGGCAGAAGAGGAGACAGTTGCAGCAGCACCAGCAGCAGCAGCAGCAGCAAAGCAAAAGAGGAGACAGTTGCAGCAGCAGCAGCACGACCATTACAATCATCGACAGCAGCAGTATACGGCTACAAAGGAGACAAATAAAAACAAGAGACGAGAAGAGAGAAAGAGAAAAAAAGAGAAAAAAAAATAAAAAAATAAAAAAAAAATAAAAAATATATAAAAATACCTTTTGGGGGGCTTCTGCTGCTGCTCCCTCTCCTTTTGCTTCCGCTGCCGCAGCCGGCGATGCACCTCAGGCATTATGTCCCGCGTCAGGTCGTCCCTAACAGCAGCAGCAGCAGCAGCAGCAGCAGCAGCAATAGCAGCAGCAGCAGCAGCAGCAATAGCAGCAGCAGCAGCAGCAGCAGCAGCAAAAGCAGTAGCAGCAGTAATAGCAGCAGCAGTAGCAGCAGCAGTAGCAGCAGTAAAAGCAGCAGCAGCAGCAGCAGTAAAAGCAGCACCATCAGGAACTGCAGCAGCATCCGCAACAGCATCAACAGCAGCAATAGCAGCAACAACAACAGCAGCAGCAGCAGCAGCAGCAGCAGCAGCAGCAGTGTCACCATATGAGTGCTTTTGCTTTTCTTTCTTCTTCATTGAGGAGCATTGCTTCTACGGCTTCATCGTCAGACTCATCTGTCTCCTCTTCTCCCTCCTCAGCTCCTTCTTGCTGTCCCTCTCCAGCAGCAGCAGCAGCAGCAGCCGATGCTCCTGCTGCTGCTGCTGCTGCTGCTGCTGCTGCACGCGGAGACGCAACGCCGCTTGCTGCTGCTGCGAGGCCCTCGGCCTCCCCCGGAGGCAGCAGCTCATCAGCCCGTGCCTGCAAGCCCGCATGCACTCTGCAGCAGATACATCTGCAGCAGCAGCAGCAGCAGCAGCAGCAGCAGCAGCAGCAACAGCAGCAGCAGCAGCAACAGGGCCGTACCCTAACAGATCTGAGGAGATCAGCAAGAGGGTTTTCGCTGCCGGTGAGCCGCACTGTCTCCTCCTGTTCTCCATCTGCTGCTGCTGCTGCTGCTGCTGCTGCTGCTGCTGCTGTTGCTGCTGCTGCTGTCTCCAATCCCGGGCTTGTGTCTCCTTTTGCAGCGTCGCTGTGTCTTGTGTCTCCTCTGGATCTGTCGCTACCTGCAGCTCCTGCTGCTGCTGCTGCATCTCCTGCTGCTGCTGCATCTCCTGCTGCTGCTGCTGCTGCTGCTGCTGCTGCAGGAGGGGCCGTGTTGCTGATAGTCTGCACTATCCAACCTGCTACAGACAAAATGTCTCCTGAGGAGGGTTGCTGCAGCGCAGCAAGCAGCAGCAGCAGCAGCAGCAGCAGCAGCAGCAACAGCAGCAGCAACAGCAGCAGCAAGATATAAAAGAAATATGAAAAAGGAGACACAAATAATAACAAAAAGAAAAAAGGAAGACAAAGAGAAAGAAAGAAGAAAAGAGGAGACAAAAAGAAGAGACAGAAAGGAGACAGAAAAAAGAGGAGAGAAAGAGAGAGAGGAGACAAAAGGAGAAAGAAGAAAAAAAAAGAAAAAAAAGAAAAAAGAAAAAAAAGAAGAGAGGAGACAAAAAAAAGGAGACAAAGAAGAGAAAAAAAAAGGAGAAAAAAAAAGACAAAGAA